AGCATACTGCCTCGCGCTGAGAACATAAAGAGCAGTGCTACACCCTTTTTTCACTTGTGCCTTTCAGGTGAACGACAGCCACTGACCGACAAGAACAAAACCGACCCGGAAATCTTGGGCAAATGCCTCGATTCTGTGTATCAATCCGTGAATCCGTGAAGTGCTTCCTATAACCTCTCGACTGAGCAGTGCTACACCCTTTTTTCACTTGTGCCTTTCAGGTGAACGACAGCCACTGACCGACAAGAACAAAACCGACCCGGGAAACTTTGGCAAAAGCCTCGATCCTGTGTATCAATCCGTGAATCCGTGAAGTGCTTCCTATAACCTCTCGACTGAGCAGTGCTACACCCTTTTTTCACTTGTGCCTTTCAGGTGAACGACAGCCACTGACCGACAAGAACAAAACCGACCCGGGAAACTTGGGCAAAAGCCTCGATCCTGTGTATCAATCCGTGAATCCGTGAATGGTGGTTGTTCGTTCGGACTGTTGAGAAACCTCAACAAATGTGACCGGGACGGTTGCTAAGTGAATGTAAAATGGTGACTGAAGTACAGTACTCGTCTCTTGGTGAATGTAAAATGGTGACTGAAGTACAGTACTTGTTCGTCTCTTGCTTACTTGGGCGCACGGGCTCAGGTTGAACGGTCGTGACACGAGAATGCAGCTCATAGTCAGCAAACCGCAATGACATTGACGTCTCCGCTGCGTTAAATCTGACGATAACAGGCCATATCACATGTATCGAACTTGTGTCGTGGTACCCAGAGGACGAGAAAGGCGTTGCAGGTACATTCACACCCTCAGTGCAGGCTTCGGGATGTGTCTGGGCTGCAGGAACCCGGCCTCTTTCCGGCCGGCGACAAACGTGGACAACAGAGAACACCGCGAGAGACCCTCATTAATTAATCGGATATCTTGTACGAAATCATTCTCCACGGTTGTAGTCGTGGAGTATCCGCGGGTAGGACAACCGTAGATGGTCATTTATCTGGAAGTGCGGAACTACATGCATCCAGCTCTTCTCCATAGAAAGGGTCCAGTACTATTTGAGATGCAGTCGTCTGTCATGAACCCCGGGGTACTAGCCCATGAAGTCGAAAAATGTAGCTGTGTGAGTCAGCGTGCTGAACACAACAGAACCAAATGCAATTGAGTTTGCGGTCGTTGACGCTAACGAGCCACTTATGATTACCACCAAGAGAAGCTGTTAATATGATCAATCAGCGTGTGGAGAATCTGGATGTGCCACCATAGTTGCTAGTGCGATCTCCCTGGCAGTAATGAGGTTTGTTACTTTCGACGGTATTCACTGTCAAGTGGAGGCGGATGGCTTCGACAGAAGATATGAAATCTGGGAGCATGGCTTCTTTAACTCGCTTCCATCCAACCTCCAAGCGCTCCTCTTCATATGCTTGACTGTGTTTTCAGTAGCTTCCTAGCTGGATCAGCACGATGCTCTTCAGCTATTGAGGCTCGTCGAGGCTGCTGATGGAAAGCGAAGTGATAACCGGGCCCGCACAATGACATAACCAGGCAAGTTGCGTACCTCAGAAGAACGGCAATCTTTAATTTAAGCTTGCCAGCAGTAACTGGTGGTCACATGGCCCAGTTGAGTCCATGACGCTCCTGCGTTTAGTGGCCTCCAGCCAACTGGATGTGAGCCTTTGTGCTGGAATTTCTTATTGGCTGTTCGACCGGCGGAACTGAGACTTTTTCAGGTATTCGACAATCGTTGTTACAGAACCATAGCTCGTGTGGGTTAGTGTCGGTGTATCACTAACGAGGCAATTAAAAAACGACTTTTCGTTTGTGCAACGGGTACTTCCATTGAAGAATGTGTCCAGCATCAGAAGCTGCGTCGGCTGGGACGTGTTGCATATGCCGAAGCATCGTTTGCCGAAGAGAGTGCTGTTTTCCATGCCCAATTCAGAGTGGCGTAAACAGAGAGGTGGCCAACCCTTGACTTGGCAGAGGAGTATGAAGGAGATCACGAAACGCTTGGGTGCTGTCGGTGCTCTTCAGCTATTGAGGCTCGTCGAGGCTGCTGATGGAAAGCGAAGTGATAACCGGGCCCGCACAATGACATGACCAGGGTCAAGTTGCGTACCTCAGAAGAACGGCAATCTTTAATTTAAGCTTGCCAGCAGTAACTGGTGGTCACATGGCCCAGTTGAGTCCATGACGCTCCTGCGTTTAGTGGCCTCCAGCCAACTGGATGTGAGCCTTTGTGCTGGAATTTCTTATTGGCTGTTCGACCGGCGGAACTGAGACTTTTTCAGGTATTCGACAATCGTTGTTACAGAACCATAGCTCGTGTGGGTTAGTGTCGGTGTATCACTAACGAGGCAATTAAAAAACGACTTTTCGTTTGTGCAACGGGTACTTCCATTGAAGAATGTGTCCAGCATCAGAAGCTGCGTCGGCTGGGACGTGTTGCATATGCCGAAGCATCGTTTGCCGAAGAGAGTGCTGTTTTCCATGCCCAATTCAGAGTGGCGTAAACAGAGAGGTGGCCAACCCTTGACTTGGCAGAGGAGTATGAAGGAGATCACGAAACGCTTGGGTGCTGTCGGTGCTACTTGCTTTCCAGGATGGGGACCGCACTGCACCTGGTCACAGGCGCTGCAAGATATGGTTTCCAACCGATCTCAGTGACTTCCTTGTTGTCCCTTTCCCGTCCACCTTTATTCTTCTCTTTACAATAAAGCTTTCAAATAAATCATGGATGTAAGGCAGCCAAGCACCAGTGTCATGCTATCAATAATGATGAAATCTACCATCTAATTGTGATTCTTCCGGGCTTAGTCGTCCAACTTGCGTATTTGTATCATCCCCCAGGATTACTGTATTCATCCTTTCCGAATGAAGTAGGCGACAGGTTTCGATAGAACCCGCCCTTCTCAGTCTCAGAACTGCAATTCATCGGGGAGTATGCTGACAAGACAAGATTGAGAAGTACTCCTTCATCCGCCGATTCAAGAATAGGTCAGCACAGTGGTTGGCGTGTCTTCAGGCTTTAGTTAGGCTCCGTGAGTTGACTCAGTGATCGGCCGTTGACGGATTTGTGCTCAGGAGCAACAAGTATCTCGGCGTGAGAAAAATAAAAAAAATCATGCAGCCCACCGACCGTTTCGGTGCATAACTGCCATGCCACCAGAAGAAAGCGTAGGAGTTGTGTATTCATTGGCCTTGAGCTCAGTTAAGTTTGTCTGCAGCCATCTACCAATCTGTCTCCTAATAAGGCCAGAAAAACACCGGATACTCCGAATCAGCCTCCTCCAAACAGCCTCCGGCAAGGAGAACACTCGATTGCATTTGTGCCCCAACAACTTGGTCACCAACTTATCCTGGTCCCATTTACTAAGGTGTTTTTTCACATTGGCTTTGGCAATCAGAGAAGTACATTTATGACATTACTCTCGGTGGATATTAGGTGTGAATGTGTTGATGGACGCCTTTGTGAACGTGAGTGAGCGATGACAACTCGGCCTGAGCGCAACGCATTCTCCTCCCTTCCCAGCCTTCGGATTTCTGCAGTCGTCCTTCACAGTGTGTTCATTACCGGGGTTTATCTTACGTAGTGTTCCAGGATGGGTTGACATAAAGTGCAGATACTCCGTGCTTATGCAATGCGCACTCATTTTTTCGTTTTTTATCGCTTTAGGGGAATGATCAGGAAGGGTCAATTAAGCGGGTGTTTGAGCTTTGTCGGTCTTTTCATCACATCCATGGACTAAATTATATTGCACGATTATTTGGCTCCCACGAGCCAACCATGTGATTTCCCGCAATTTTTCGAGAAGCCAGTGACCTCTAGCCTGTGTGTAGTGGCATCCCGTGTGGTTATTGCCTTATCGAAGGTAATTTGCTAGAATACGATACCACTGTTGGGGCAACAATATAGTAGTAATTCAGATGTACCACCCTTTCGGTGCTTAGCTTCAATGCCACCCGAAGGAAGCAAGGAGGCCGAGGTACTTTCAGGTTGCCGAAGCCAACGCAGGGGCAGTCGAAATGCCAAGGTCTGGGTTTGAACTACGGACCTACTGGTCAGTAAGTTTGTGCCCTAAGCACCGAGCTATCTCGTGCTTAACAACAGTAATAGCTAAAAGCATGAAGTCTAGAAAGTGACTTTGGGATAGCTCAGTACTTCAGACGAGCAGTTTTGATCGTCAAATACCTGCAGTGTTTGTTGAAAGCGGGGTAGCGTAGTGTTCCAAAAGGCTCAGTTGCTTTGACCAGGTTTCCCAAGGATTTTGCCACGTTTGCCCAGCACATTTGCCTTGGACAAATACCGGCAGTTCTTGTCAACACTGTGCTTCTTTCGGTTGTTTCGATTCTCTGACCAATCCAAACTGCTTTAGATGTTTCCTGTTTTCAATCAGATTTTATTATTAATTGGATTTTAAATATTTACTCAAACTTTGTCGCTGTGTATTTCAGCCACCGAACATCGTTTGACCGTGGTGATCGCATTTGCATGCGCTGATGTTGCGGCTGTTCATTTATGTAATCTTCCTCATCCGTAAGTTGTGCACTTTCCAACCCGACATTACCTTCCCTAGACCGCTCCAATGGAAAGTCGTGTTACGTTTGCAATTCCTCAGTGGATGCTAATTGTCTCGATTCGTTTAGTCCTCACCAGAGTCCTCTTCGACCCACACGTTGCAATGTGGTAGATGCCCGGTTCTGCATAAAGACCACCGGAATATACGGAGGTTTGTGGTGTTTTAATACGCTTGATGGCGATTGGCTTTATATTGCTTACTTTCTCTGACGGTTCTAAACTGTCCCAACTTGTGAGACAGTTGCCCACCTAGGTCACCTTTTTCCCCTGGTGTCATTTCTCTTGGATTCCGTGTCTCAATCTGTTCCATTGAATAGAAACCGTCCCCCTTCAGATGAACTCCTTTAATTACTCAAGATAGTTCATGGTTAACGCATGAACTTACTGATCGGAAGGTTCGTGGTTCGAACCCGACATCTGCCTCTCGACTTCCCCTGTCTATGCTTGGGCAACCTGGCAGTATCCCATACCTCGAACTTCCTCCGGGTGGCATAGCAGTTAGGCACCGGAAGCGTGTTACAACTGATCCACCGAACCGCCTTATCTGATCCTGGTAACATTTCCCTTCAAAAGAATTTTTTCTTACCAGTTTATCCTCAATGCTCTCCATCAAAGGTCACGCTTCCCCCGAAACTCGGAAAAATTGGATACTATTTGGCGTAGCAATTTTTTTGAACCAGGAAGTTCAAGGTCAACTTTTACCTCTGCCAAGCATTCCTGATGTCCTAATGAGCTTGACGAGGTTATTCTCCGTACGAATGCGTCGTCTCGTAGTTTCGACAACGTATGAGGTGTACCGTGGAGCATGAGCTCTACGCTTGGATTTTCTGGTCGACGCTGCAAATAGTCACAGGTATTATGGGCTCCATACTCTGCGGCTGGTAGTGCCGCTTACTACACTAGGTCATTGGACGATTACGTCGCGAGAAATGACATGTCTACAACTGAGGTATGAACCGTACCTAATTGCAACCTGCTCACATCTGCACCGATCAGGGTAATACAAATGAACAGTAGCAGTTTCAGTACGGGTAAAATCCTTTTCGGAATGGGTTGTTTGTGGCTCTACTTGGAGGCCATCGGCATTTCCGAAACATTGGTCAGGTCTGGTCGGAACATCCGATGAGTAATGATGAGGAACGCTAGATGGTCCTAGGAAGGAGGTACTCTCCCGCGAGTGATGAATTACTTATGCCTCATAGGTTAGGACATATACTCCACGTACCAGAAGACCATCTGCCTCGCAGCACTCTCTTTGCCCAGTCTTTTGCTGAGTGGAAGCTACCGAGAGGTGGACGGTACATGGCTTGACAACGATGTATGCCAACACTAAGAAATAAACTTAACCGCCTCCCTGGTTAGAGACCCCGGACTAAACTCTCCAATGATTAATGACACTAACAGAAATGGCCCAGTCATGCAGCCGGTAGCGCGCTTATATCAAAGCCATCGCCTTCAATGCGCAGTTCTTCAGTTCTAGCTAACTGAACACGCCCTCGCCTCTAATGCGTGGCAGGCACCTCCTGGACAAGTATTCTCTTATCCATGTACCACATCGTACATCCGTCACATTGATGAATTCAAGCACCAAGTCTATTCTCTTGGGGATTGGAGAGTGTATTTTTTGACAAATTCCAAACAACTGACGTTTTGTATCCTTCTCAAGTACATGATCAAGGACCGCCTGACAGAGCCTGCAGTCACGGAACCCATACTATGTAGTTTGATTTAGAATACTTCTGTGATGACCGGAACGTCCGTGGTTTGAACCCGGCCTTTGGCTTTCGACTTCCCCTGTCTAAGCTTGGGCAACCTGACAGTATCCCATCCATCGTGCAACCTTGGGGTGGCACGACAGTTAGGCACCCAAAGGGTGTTACAGCTGAACGATTTTTAGAATCCTATGCAGTCCGTAGTAGAGTGTCGACAAGCGCTGTTGTTTGGCGAATGGACGCAAATCATTTAGAATGTATGTGCTATTCAGTCTGCGCGTCTCCAGATGTGCTGCCAGGCTCCCACCGACGTGGGCTGATATCGAGGAATGCAACGGTAGTCAACAGGAAAATTTGCAGAATTACGATACACCTGAATCACGTGACCTCTATTCGGTCCTGTCTGTTCTTGATTGGATGTCACTCTTCCAACACGCCCTCTTAGTTCAGTTCTCTTTTCGACCGCCTCTTATCACCTGAATGATCAGATGTCGGTTTTTGTCCTTGAATTCACACACCCGGTCGCATGAAATCATTCTTGACTTGTCTTGAATCGACCACTCACCGGCGTCGTTACGAATACATATCGTACGGCTGTTTCCGACTAACTGCGGCGTGTCTGTATCATGACGATGCACAGCCAGATTTACCCACGTGATTTTGGGACTGTTATTCACTGTCTGGCCACAATTCAGGACTACCTTCGACTTGTTTCGCTTGCCTTTTACTATTTGTTATTTTTTTGCTGTTCCACATTCCTACTTGCCTCCTCCTCGGCTTCTGTTTTTTTTTCTAGTTCTGCGTCCAAAGTCCATTCTAATTTCAGTGCAGTGACGTCTCACCCCCATCACGTGACTATTTTACACGTTCATAACTACTTTTCGTGTGTATTTCAGGCTTCGTCGGGGTGAACCGTTTCTGTAGTTCGTTTGATTTGGGCACACAATGCGATTACGTCTCTTTCCCCGATCACGACCGAATCTATCGTGCCTGCGTGTTCACTTGCTCATCTGACGAATGCAATCGAGCCTTCTTGGCATCCATAAGCTGGTTGCACTTTGGTCCCAGTATAGCACTTTTAATAAGTTTATTCTGATCGTTTGCCTTTTTTTCTATAAATCTCACACACTCCCGCCCCCCTCCTGATGGCTGTGAACTGCACTCATGCGCATTTCTCACATTCCGGATCGATCTCTAAGCGTCGCATTTCATCTCTTCGATGGCTTGTTGTTTGTTTTGATATTTTGTGTTATACACACCTATAGCTTTTTGCCTTGGCACAATACAAAATCTCCCCTACTGTAAACCTTTACAGGGTTTTTTATCGATCGTTTGGGATACTGTGGTAGTCGGTCAAGATTTGCATAGAAAGGTCAGTCCTCGGTGTGGAGCTTACGCGGTGGCAAAGCTGTGGCCTCCCGACTCAATGATCGCTGTTATGGGGCGCATCGATTGCCTAAGACCAAAGGGTTTGACCTATCTAAACCTTTGTTCCATCCTGCGAGCTGGTTTAGTAGTTAGAGCGTGAATTTACGGACGCAAGGTTCGTGATCGAACCCGACTCTCCGCCTCTCGACTTCCCCTGTCTAGGCTTCGGCAGTATCCCAGCCCTCGTGCTTCTCTCGGGTGGCATGCCGGTTGGGCACCGAAAGGGTCCTACAACTGAACGATAAACATCCTGAAAATTTGGCCGCCATTTGGATGTTGTATGATTGGAGTAGCGGATCCTGATATTGAGGATCCGATTGGAGTCCCCCCTTTCAACTGTTGACCTCTTCGTCCATCAAAGGCAAAGTATGTAACCATGCAAAAGCCCAACAGCTTGCACAGAATTTCGGATTCCGTCGATCCTGTCGTGTTTGGATCATTGCAAAACAATTCTGCTACGGTTTCTCTGGCGAGATGTACCAAGTGGTTATTGCACGAATTTGCTGACCGGGAGGTCCGTGGTTCGAACCCGACTTCTGCCTCTTGACTTCCCCTGTCTAGGCTTGGGCAACCTGGCAGTATCCCAGTCCTCACGTCTCCTTCGTGTGGCATAGTAGCTAGGCACCGAAAGGGTGCTACAGCTGAATGATTTATTTTGTTTATTTTCTCTGGCGAGGTTGACTAAAGTGAACAGTGGATTAGTATCAAATGAAAGTGTGATTTCTAGGTCTTCTACACTGACGTTTCGAAGTTTGCTCAGAAACTGACCGGCATTGTTGACTGTGTGTTCCAACCCAGAAATTAAGTGCTTCAGTATTCTCCATAGGTCTTTTGCGAATTTGAAAGCTGCCGGAAGTGAAACGATTGGTCGAAGTGGGGTTCCCCCGTTTGTACACCTTTGGTAGTCCATAAAACTGTGCAATGTTGGTCGCCTTTTACTCTCCATCGTTCCTGGCTGGTTATCTTGTGTGTTGCTCGCATTTTCTTGAGCGTCCTGTTGATAATATCAAGTTTACAATCGAACTGGAGGGAAACAACGGACTGCCATTCCTTTGGGGTTTAGTGAACAGAAAGTTGGATGGGACTCTGGAAACCCGTGTATACTGGAAAAAACACATACGGATCAAATACTGAAATGCAACAGCAGTCATCCAGTAAACCACAAGAAGAACTGCGTCCAAACCTTGTTCAAGGGGGCGGAGACACACTGAAGCATCACAGAACTACGGAAGACGGAAGAAAGCCATCTAGTCAGAGTATTCTAGAACAATGGATATTCAAGGAATTTTATCAAGAGAAGCTTGAAACAGGCATCTCAACAACAGCAAGAATAAGCCATCAGGTAGGAGTTAGTTCTGCCGTACATCAAGAATATATCGGAACTCACAAACAGATTACTGATTCAAAAAGGAATCCTCATGACCCACAAACTGGATTTCATCCTAAAGAATCTCATTTCAAAACCGAAGGACAACCGAGACAAAACCAAAAGGAGAAATGTGATACACCAAATCAACTGCAACGACCGCAAAAAATCCTACGTTGGATAAACTGGGAGGAATGAAGGAAGGCAACGCGACCGTCAGCGGACGCTGCCGACCTGTTGATCAGCTACGATAGAATGGTCACGAAGGGTAAAATCGAGTTTTCACACGAAATAAAGACAAGATACACTTTGTGCAAGAATAAAATTTTGTGAATAAATGCCATTTTGTTCCTTGCTTTTGAAAATCAATTTGTGAACAGCAGTCAGTCTTATTGACAACTCCGCAATCCAGATTGAGGCAAACAAATTGGTGACCATAAAAGAAACTACTCACAAGGTTGCTGAAAACTCTTCGACAGCCCACGACCAGTTTAGCCCTTCTTGGCGCTCATCAGGTAGGCGCAGTCCCCCAGTTTCCGTCAACATTATGTTCTATTTGAACCCAAATTGGACTGTGTCCGAGAAATACACTCATTTGCAAATCAATTTGGTGACCACGTTCTGTAAGATGGCGGACAGTTACAACCTGGGGCACTTCTGATAAATTCCATCATACAAAGAAAGGGTTTTTTGTTCGTAAGATCAAATTGTGAATTTTTTTGAGTATGACACAGTCGTGTTAAGAACGCACAGCAACCCATCTTTGTAGCAAATCTTGAGCCACAGAAGTACCCAAGTAAAACACATGTGAGTTACTTCAAGCAACTTTTTTCTATTTTACTTCTGCGAGATATGCTGCATCGGCTATGTCTCGGCATCCAGAAAGTAAGAAGAAATTTACGTTAACAAAAGTTTTCCTTTTCGAGTCGTTTAAATTGTTTTATTTTTGGATGGAGCTAACAAACTCTTGATAAATTTGACGCATAGAGAGCACTTTTGAAATTGNTACAACCTCGGGCACTTCTGATAAATTCCATCATACAAACAAAGGGTTTTTTCGTTCGTAAGATCAAACTGTAAATTGTGTTGAGTATGACACAGTCGTGTCGAGAACGCACAGCAATCCATCTTTGTAGCATATCTTGAGCAACAGAAGTACCGAAGTACTTCAAGAATTTTTGTATTTTACTTCTGTGAGATATGCTGCATCGGTTGTGTCTCGGCAACCAGAAAGTAAGAAAAACGTTGCGTTAACAAAAGTTTTCCTTCTCAAATCGTTTAAACTGCTTTATTTTTGGATGAAGCTAACAAACTCTTGATAAAATTGACGCATAGAGAGCACTTTTGAAATTGCCGTTTGAAAGCTAAATTCCTCATACTGCCTGCTATACATTTCAGTAGTGTTTCCTTTTAGCAGATCTCAAGAGCACACTACGCAGACAAATGCTAACTGCGGGGCCAAATGTCTGCGTCTTGATTTTCTGGGCTGCACTGTGGGATCAATCTGCATAGTATGCGCGATGACAAATGAACTTTACTATCTACGTAATGTACTACTCATAAGGTCGCTGAAAACTTCGACAGCCCATGACCGGTTTCGGCCTGCTTGAGGCTCATCAGGTAGGCGTAGTCCCCGAGTTTCCGTCAACCTTACGTTCTACTTGAAGCCAAATTGCACGAAATTAACAAACTACACTCATTTACAAGCAAATTTGGGAAACTCACCTTGAACCCAGCTGAATCTCTCGTTTGCGTAGTTTCCAAATTTGTTTGCATATGAGTGTGTTTCGCTAAGCACACAGACAGAAAGTAAATGCAAGTGATGGATGTGGAATGGCTAGAGGACAATATTAGATAAAAAGAAAGAAGCGTCTCTCGAGAAATACACTCATTTGCAACTCAATTTGGTTTTCACAGGAGACTCAATTGAATCTCTCGTTTATGATGTCCTCTAGCTGAATGTGCTGCACACAGGCCGCCTCATGATTCAGTCGGCACGATAGTCGAGATATCGCAGTATATTTTCATAAAGGAAACTACTCACAAGGTCTCTGAAAACTCTTCGACAGCCCACTACCTGTTTCGCCCTTGTTGGGGTCGGCTCATCAGGTAGGCGCGGTCCCCGAGTTTCCGTCAACCTTATGATGTACTTGAACCCAAATTGCACATTTTTTCGAGAAATACGCTCATTTGCAAATCAATTTGGTTTCCACGGGATATCATAAACGAGAGATTCAATTGAGTCTCTCGTGAAAACTAAATTGATTGGCTACAGGATAATGTTAGATAAGAAGAGAGAAGCGTCTCATTCGACGTCATGACACCAACAGCTACAGTCAGACAAGTAGAATCCCAACTGTATTGGTGACCGTGGTACTGCATCTGAAAAGTTTATTTTCCGGGGATCTCGCAAACAAGTAGCCTAATTCTGAGAAGTTTGTTTTACAAAATTCCTTTATGCACTCCGAAGCAGACATTCGAAATTTATGAAAGGCTGGTTGTCAAGAAACTCCATTTCGATCAGAACTGAAGCAACACGTAGGCTAATGTCATAGTCTACCCCAAAAGTTCTTTGCCGTTTGTTCCTTATGTACCGAAACGATCTGGACGTCAAGGTTTGGATCACGTGATTTGGTCTAATAAAGCGCCACAGAACGGACCACAACCGAAGTGTCTCAAGTGGCACCCAGAGAGCAGTCAATAAAGCGCCCAGCGCCATACCTACGATGTGATTGATACGATGATCTCCCACAAGCCAGAATATTGTATACCAGAAAGGAGAATTTTTTTTAGGAAATTTCTCAACAGTTATTCGCAAAGACTATTGAACTCCACAAAGCACCCCGTCGTCCTCTTAGCCCTGTTGAGCAGCATCATTGTGTGCCTATCGGAATGGTGGGCTGCTACCGTTTGGTTTGCTTTTATACTAAACGCCGAATTCTGCTTGAAATTCCTCTGCTTGTCTCCGAAACTTCGGGAGTCGAAATGCTCTTGGGGCGTTCCCTCACAGACATTGAGTAGTATGCAGACGATGTTGCTCTTTTTGGTTGAGGTCCTCTCCAAATGCAAACGATTTTAAATAACCTAAATAACTGCCGCACGGTTTGCCAGCTCCGAATGTATCGTGACTGCATAACAACCAATGGAATAACCGTTTCTCGTTGAGACAGATTTGATTGGTTGTTCTTCACTCGTCCTTGACAGATGAGTTCTATTCTCAGTATCACTTTGGACCGTTTGTACCCGACATGATAAATTTATTCATCATCCTCATCACCTTCATCATCCATCATCATCAGCATGACATCAGTGTTCAACACCGATGCTTCACTGCCTCGTCTCTCGGGACTCAAACATCTCCATTCATGTGCTCTATGGTATTGCAGCAACATGATAAATTTCTTTGCACTTCTGAGTTACCCCAGCTCAAATATTCGGGACGATTCTGGTCTCTTTGCTTACTTAGAAATACCAAATTACTTTTCTGACTGAGGATAATGATGATGAACAAGTCCAAATTGACCTGGAACAGTCGCCTGAAAAATGCGGAAAACCGCGCCACAATTTGCCTAACAGAATGAACATTTTTTGGGCGGACAACGGGAACAGTTGCTTCAAAAAGGCTTAAAACCGCGCCACAATTTGCCTAGCAGAATAGACATTTTTTGGGCTGACGAGTACAAAAAACAGGCCAAACAGATTCCGAATTTCAGTTTTATTGAAATTACACCTGACTTGATCGTCCCATGTCAATCACCTAGTTCGGGTGAGTAGATCTTACTTTCGAATTCATGTCCGTGGGAAACCAAACGCGCAGGAATTCATGTTTGGTCACCCCTGAAGGATTAGAACTTATCTCGGCCAATAAATCTGCAGCTTTACCGTGAAATCAACATTGCAGTCTGTTGGTACTTTTTAGCGACATTTTGGGAAGGATTTAAATAGCACCTGGAACAATTTAAGGGCGGGACAAGTTATTTACATAGCATCACACGAGAGCCAATGAAAGACTGTAGAGTTACAGGCTATTTTATCCCTCCAAAAAGCGTCTGTTCTTCTGTAAACACGCTGGCAAAGCACGAATAAAGGCAAGTACAAACTTTGGACAAACCGAAGACCCTCTCAGCTACCACATGTTTGATACATTTTAGCTCAGGAAGTATTTGACAAAGCCGTTCCCCTCTTGCTCTAATTGAAATATTCCGGTTAAATAAGAATATATTTAAACACCCACGAATGTTTTTCTGA